AGGGCTGCGCTTGGTGCAGTTTGTGGCACCCGCAGGTTGTCCTTTGCATCCGATCCTTCCTTGAGGGGGACGTGGCCTCCTCCTGCGGGCAGCACGCAGCAACGCAGCGATTCTCGCAGGAGCAGTTTCGCAGCGTCGGCCAGAAGAGCCGCGTCTCGCCGGTTCGCCCACATCCTCCCAGGGGTGCCCCTTCCCTCGCCGCTCTCCGTAATTAAATTCCAGCACGGTCTCCAGGCTCCCAGAGCCGCACAGTCCAAGGGGATGAACAACAGCGATCACCTTGGCCCCGCTGCCGTGTCCCTCAGCAGGCAGCAAAAGGACACCCTGTCAAATAGGTGCCCCAAGCCCCTTCATGTACCAAGAGCACAGAATTGTCCCAGCGGCTCTCAAAGTCACCAGCCAGCCTGCTACCAGCCTGGGCAGTTAAGACCGTGCAGTTAAATAGATGCATAAACTGATAAGACTTTTTTTTTTTTTTATGTTGCTTTGAGTTTTACTGGTTGTGCTTTGAGGAAATAAATACAGCTGAGCGGCTATAACTCTCATCTAGTTATAGAGTAGGTTGGGAACCTACTTATAACACAAGATGTGACCAGATGTGACCAGAATAGGTAGAACCAGGTTAAGCCTGACATGGCACCACCTGAAGCTCCTGTGGGAAGCCCTTCTGTGCCTTCCTACCTACCCAGGCCCCAAAGAGCAGCCAGCCACTGCCAGCCCTGGGGAGCCTTGTGTTCGTGACAAACGCAACTACTTCAAAAGCCAAGGTGGGAGCACCACCAAAACCACACAGGCAAGTGTCCCAATGCCCTGACTCCCAACCCCTTTGGTGGCATTTCTGGTCTAAGTGCTGTGCACTCACTCTTCCTTCTGTGCCTCCAGCCAGTGCACTGCAAGATGCCAATGTAGTTATCCGGTGTAGGATGTACTCTATAAATGCCGAGTTACACTTTTTATACACCTTATTTATCAGGTTTATGTGTTTTACTTTGGTGATATTCCAGCTGGCACACAAATGAGCAGGGAGGAGTTACCAAGACCCTGCTTGGTAGCACTATATGGGCAAATGTAGATTTATTCTTAGCCTGGTAAATTCAAAACACTCTGCAGAAAGTGCTGCTCTGTGCAGCACTTAGCTAAGCTGCCGTCCTCCTTGGCACAGGACGTTGTAGCTGCTGCAAATTTATATGGGGTCAAAATGTACTTCCAAAAGCCCTTGGAAGAGACTGTCCTCTAAGCATGACTCAAGAGAGAGATGCTGTCTCCGGCTCAGGAAATCCTGGAGATGAACATTTGCCCTGTTCTCAACCTCTACCCATATGGCCAGTCTGTTGGCACATGTCCAGGTCTCTAACCTCCCACGCAACCTCCAAGCAACTTTATCCTTCTCTTTCTGTCCCCGTGCCTGCCGTTGTGCAGATCTGGGGCTCTTGGGCACCGTTGGGAAAGCAAGGCCAGACTGGAGCTCACCTCAGCATAAGTAACATCTCAATCCTCTCATGACTAACGTCTTTTCTGGCAAGTGGATTTTATGTTTGTTCTCCAATGAGTGTCTCTGGTTGTACTGAGGGCTCTGCAGGGGCCCAAAGAACAGGCTGGGCTGCATCTCTCTGCCAACTTCATCCCCTATTGCCCTGTTGTAGAAACTGCTGCCAAGGCATTGGGCAGGGAGAGCGGGTTTGCCACCTGGGAACTTGAGGGGCCTTAAACTCTGCATTTTGTCTTGACAGATGGGATGCAAAAGAAGGCGATGACGTGTGTTTTCTGAAGGATGACCCTGACAGTCAGGTGAGTTTACCTGTTTGAGGCTGTCAGCTTTCTGGAAAGAGGCAATATCAAGAAAACTTGAGACCTTCAGCAAGGGCAGAGCCTTGTGTACAGCACACTAGAGAACGCATGGTGGGAGAGCAGCCTCCTTTCTTCCATTGACCCTCACGCAGCTTGTCTTGGTCCCTGAACACTGCTCTTCTTTGCTCACATCCTTTAATGTCCTCTGAAGATTCCTCCTCAAGTGCCATATACTGATGTTTGAATAAGCTCTAATAAAGATCTCCTTCTTTTCCCAGAGGATCCTCGGTACAGACAAGCTGAAAGGCAGAGGTGAGGAGGGGGTGGAAGACAACTGCCCGGCAGAGCTGGAGGAGAAGCAGCCAAGTCTCTCAGATCCCAGTGCATCCTCATCACGGGAGCTGCCAAGCGGGAAGGTCCCGTCTGCCCACAACAGCCGCAAGGAGGAACAGAGAGCGGTGAAGGGATGCGAGGAGGTACCCGTGGCCATCGCCGGTGACCCTGAGCCAGGGAGCAAGCTGAGGAAGGAGAGCGTTGGGGACGATGCCAGTGGCACTGCTGGCATCCCCCAGGAGCAGGACGGCCCAGAGGGCACCGAGGAGACCTCGTCATTGCCCCTTGGAGGTGGCTTAGAGGAAAGCGCCGCTTCAGAAGGGGAATCTTCTTCCAACAGCCACGGGGGAAAGCTGGGCACGGCAGCAGGAGGCAGACGGGAGGCAGGGCAAGGACAGCCCGTGCAAAAGAGAGGGGAGGAAGCGGCCCCAAACCCTGCCCTTGAGGGGCAAACACTTGCACTGAAAGGAGGTGAAGACGCTGAGAGCACCGAGCACAGAGGAGAGCCCTTGCCCTCAAGGGCCGACAGCTCGGACAAGACTGTTGTGTCTGAGCAGGACACGACAAAATCACAGCCCAGCGACGGGGACCAGACTGAGGAGTGCAAGGACAAGGACAGAGGGGGCTCTCTGAACTAGCAAAGACTGCCCTGCTTGCCAGAGACGGAAGGTGAGTTCCTGATCCCAACCTCCATGGTGTGTTCCTTATCCCATAACACTCGCTGGGCATAGTCAGCGTACAGGTCCACAGCTCTGTTTGCTGTGGACCATGCGGGCACCATATAAAATACCTCTCCAAAAGTGTGTATTTAACAGTGATATGGAACCTTAAGACAATCTTAAATCTGTGCGTCACCAAGACGTGCCCTGCAGCAGATGGGGAAAGCAAAGGAAAAGGGGGAAATGTGGGCAGAAAATCAGTCAGCTGAGTCTGGTTGGTGACGCACATTAGTCAGGGACACAAACTGAATCTCTTCCTGGGAAGGGATAATCTCTGAAAGGTCAGGATAGCAGCACGAGTTTATTCGGTCTCCGCAGCGATGACAACTAGAATAACTAGAGGTCAAGCACAGAAGTCAGGTAGAAGGAGGGGCAAGGAGAGAGCACAGAGACACTGTGGCACTTATCATTACTCAGGCTGTTCATTCCAGGGTGTAACGGCAATGTGGATCTCAAACCCACAGGCACTAGATCAGAGTGGTAAATGAGGATGTGATCCCACCACCAGTTCAGGCAGTAAGGACCTAACTCAGGACCTAACTTCACCTCAGTCGTCTGACCTTCACTTTCACCTCCCATCAGTGCAGAGAGATGGGTACTTGCAGGACATGATTCAGCCTAAGGCCTGACCTGCTCTGAGGACCCTCCTGTCTGTATTCCTTAAAAAGAGAGAGGGCAACTGCATTCCTAAGGAAGCACTTGAGGCAACCAGTTGCCCAGATTGCTGCCACCTTGTCCTGATTCCAGCAGGCTTTGTCTTGGCCCCCTGACCAGCAGCTGGTCATCGGTTCTGTTCAGTATTCATCTCAGAGGCACAAAGGAGCTTAAGGATGAAGTGGTTATGCTGCTGACAAAAAGACTTTTCCTATAATCCGATTCTAGACAAAAGGCAGGGAGAAGCACAAGTGTTAGAGCTACTGGAAGAAACATAGAAAAAAAGGCAAAGCACCAGGAACCAGCGGGAGCTGCTTCTGTACTGGAACTAAAATGCCTTAAAGGAAATTATTTTCAACAGTTTTTAGGAAAACATGAAGGGATGCCTGGATGCACAGAGCAAGGGAGGAGACCATAGCACAGAAGCCAGGTCAGGTCTCTCCAAAACCTACCAAAAATATCTAGAGTAGAGGATAAGGGAATTTAAGTTATCCTGGGTGACAAAAGCAGTAATTGCTTAGACACCAGTTAAGAGGAAATAAATTAGAAACGCCCATTTTCACTGGGGCAAATGGCAGTAGGACTTTGAGTCTACCTTAAGCCCAGCTTTTTACTCCATTGCTATTCTGTGAAGTCATTAAGGCAGGTTTATGTATAAGCACATCCTTAAATGCGGGGAAAGGCAAGGTACAGAAGGGGAAAATGAGGGGTGAACTGGTATCCCCAGACTGCTGGCACTGCAGCCCCTCTGTCCCCAGTCTCATCCCCAGTTATTTCCCCTTTCCATCCTCTCCTCCACCCTCACCTGCGTGCCTCTCTGCACTGCCCTTTCTCTCTTTCCTCATCATTCCCATGCCTCACTTCCGTGCCTTCCCCAAATAGTTCAAGCTGCATTTCCAGGTGTGCTGAGATTACGCACTCGGCATCAGATACATCCCTTTGATGCTTTCCTTGCCTTGACACCTATCGTACATCCAAGAGATGCTTCCAATTTGGGGGAGCCCTGTGCAAGACAGGGATGGCAGGACACAAGGGAAAGTCAACCAGAAGATGTTCCCCCGTCTCCAGATAGCACTGCTGACAGGAATAGGCCCAGCTACCAAATTTTACATTAAGAAGATGTGTTTTCATTCTTTTCTGTCCTTACCCCGACGCACTCCGCCTTCACTCCAGGGACAGTCCTTTATCTGGTTGGATTTCCCAAATACTCGTAGTTGGCATGAATTCTGCTGCAATTTATTCATGATGGGAAAAGCCATGAGGAAGAGAGAGGGTCCTGTCCTTAAGTGTCTCTTCTCCGTGTCCAGTCCATCAGGAACATCCCTCCCTAGGGAACAAGTGCAAGACCTGGATTTTTCAACCAGAGCAGTTCAGCCGTGTCACTTGACAGCAGAGCTCCTAGGAGCAACAAAACTGCAACAACAAGGAGAAAAGCAAAAGCTCATTAGGCTCAAGTTGGTTAAGTCGACAGAACATTTGGAGTGAAAAGGCCTTGAGTCTATTCCTGTTTTTTTTTCAACCCAACATGACAGGCTGCATAATGACCCAGATGGCAGGCAGAAATAACCACAGGCTGGTTGCAGTCACTTCCCTTCTCCCTCGGCTTCTGCTTCCTAGCGCTCTCCAGCATTACTTTCAGACCACAGTGTTGATAAAACGCTGCAAAGCCCTGCTTTATTTCCACATAATTCTCCCTAAAATGTTATTTCACAGGAACATCACACTTTGGGGGTTTACTTTGCCAGCAGATGTCCCAAACAAGTAATTTTGCAAAGAGAAAACGACATTTTGTTTGTGGTAGGAAAAGCTCTTAAGGTACAATTGAGCATTGTGTGTTACATGCAGAGAGAGAGAGAGAGAGAGAAGCTGTCTTAAATTCGTAACAATTTACCTTTTATCAATCAGCATTCATGTGCAGCTACGAAATGCTGTGGATCTGTAAGACCATTGCATCTCCAGGCATTTAATATTATGGGCAAGTAGGTCACTGCCCGTTGAAATGAGGGACAGAAGTGCCACAAGATTGTGTTAAATTTTATAGCGAAGCACGGGCTGAGATTTTCAAGGCTGGTGTCCAGGTGTCAGACACCTTTTTAAAAGCGTGATGTTTGTAAAGGCTTAAGCAGCAAAGCAGGCTGCAGTTCCAAATCTAAATAGAGAGGCTGGAGTAAGACCTTGCTGGTCGCAGTTAATAGGGGGACCTCTTTAGTTTGCAGAAACCAGAAAAAGAGCCTTGTTCAGGAACCTAAAAGATCAAATGTTAAGAAAACAACAGAAAAAAGACCTGCACGTCTCCCCTTTTGGTCAGAATGCGAAATTGAAAATGTGATTACCTCCTTGGCGTCTAGTACCACAGCTCCAGAGGCCCAAATCCCCTTAATTATTTGCCTCCACTCACTGCGTGAGCACAATCTTTAAGGAACAGGTAGTCCTCAGTGAATGGCCCATAACGCAGCTGAGAGGCCGTGGGCAGGTAGCTCACATATAGTTTTTAACAGCTTCTGTTTACAGTGAACTGCTGACGTCCCTGCCTAATGGTACCGAGGTGACGTCAGGCCACCACGGTGACAAAATTAGCCCTTTGCAGCAGGGGAGAGAGGGGGCGTCTGCCACCCTGTTGCGCGTGAACAACGGCAATGCACGTTCTCTGGGGACGAAGGACTAGGTGGGTGTCGAGGCAAGTGTGTTGGTGGTACAACAGGTCTCTCTTGGTAAATCCTGCTGTGTCCCAGCAGGAAACCTTCCCTGTGTCCTGCATCCACGTAACTGGAGGTGTTTAATATCAGGCAATTCAGTGAGATTAAACTGAGAGCGTATATCACGCATCGGCTGCCATGCTGTGCTACAGAGGCCTGGAATTTAGGCAAAAAAAACACCGTGACCTAAAGTGCCAGGCAGAAAGCACAGAAGTTTGCACAGGAAAGCCCAAATGATACAAACAGAGTCTGGATACCCACTGCCCCAGACAGCAAAAAGCACAGTAGCAAAAGAGGATGATGATGAATATAACTGGGACCCCCACAAGAGGTGGACATAGCTCACGGCCTTTAAGAAGGGATTACCTTGGCACATGTTATTGAGACCGGTTAATAAGTCCCTGTCAGGATGTGATTAGTAACTTTCCAAAGGGATTTTTTTTTCTGTCAAACCAGAGATTTGACAAAAGCAAAACATGCACCAGAAATGTGTCTGCTTTGACATTTCGTATTTTATGAAATGCAAACTGAAGCCTGCGTTAAACCTTTTTGATGCAGAAAATGTTCATGTTCTGTTTTGAAATACTGCTGATTCCATTTTGATAGAGTGCAACTTTGGGAAAGCCAGCCAGGGTGTATAATTTCCCAACACACAACCTATTTAAGCCCCAACAGGATTTTAAAACTATAATTTCACTACAGCAATTTCTATTGTGGAATAGAATTGCACGTGATGTCAGGGACAGGACCTCCAGAGCAGGATTTCACATGCAGCAGCAATCACCAGCAACCAGTGGTAATATTCCCTCCACCTGCCCTGCTGCTGAGCTTGGTAGGACACATATCCCAGTCATTCATGTTCAGATTTCTGCTGTCCATTCATTTCCACAAGATGCTCCTTGCATCCTCCTTACAATGAGCAGCCACTGTGTGGGTTTCACAGCTTCAGTTGCTAATGTCTATTTATAGTCCTAAAAAAACCCCCTGCACCTTCAAACCACTGTGCAGAGAACTTGGTGGGGCTTTCATCCTTTGCTTCAAATAACAAGGAATAAATATTTACCCAAAGTGAAGGCCTGGAATCCCTGGAGAATGTCCAACAAGGCCCAGACAAGTAAACGATACACAAAAAAACACAGCAGCTTTTCCCTGAAGTCTCCTGAGAAAATCAATCTTTAGAGAAAATGCAGCTGGGGGTGAATTTCCAAAGCAACTCCAGGGATCTGACCTT